TGGAGATAGTCCCACCGCTGCCGCCTCGCTCGGCTTGGGTCCCGGGGGTGGCGGGGGCCCACAGCCAGGCTCGGGTGGGCCAGCACAGGGCCCCTCCGCCCGCCGCTGCCTCACTCGGCACGGGTCCCGGGGGTCAAACAACTGTAATCTTTAGCCCCTTTCTACTGAGTTAACCGTACAGATGTCTCTAACCCATGGTGGTTTTTAACAGCCATATTTTGATAATTCCCAATGGAAAGGCAGACCCAGCTTTTAGTTTTATAAAATTCTGCCAAGATGAGAGACCACAAGGAAGTGGGATGGGAGGGAAAAGGTGGGCAGAGGAGTGTAGTTAAAAAGCAGGAGTCTGGAATTAGAAGGCAGGTCTAATCTCAGCTATTCATTAGTTAACTTAATGATTCTGGCCTCATTTGCAAAATAGGGGTGATGACAATGTCCACCTTGCGGGGTCATTGTGAAAATCACATGAGAAAAAGCACAGACAGCACTTAGAACAGGAAGGGAGTGGTCAAAACCAGGCTGAGTGACACTGGGACAGTCACTTATGTGCACTGGTCTCAGTTTCCTCACCTGCAAAGGAGTCACTTTCACAAGATCGTTTGTATTTCTGCTCAGCAACATTTCTTGAGTGTTGTCCCTGTTGGTGCCACACTGGGCATTTAGAGAGGGTCAAGGCCTGGCTGCTGCCCCCAAGAAGGAAAGGCGACAGGCATATACATTGGTGACTCTGAGACAAGGTCTAGAGGACATAGTTTCAAAATGCAGTTGGGTTCACAGCCTGAATGTTTAGGACAGGCATCCCTGGACAGCCCAGGGAAAAGGGTGGGCTTCGAAGGATGTCTTCCCTTGCTGAAAACACTTCCTTCAGGATAGAGGCCAAACCCTTTAGCCCGCACAGGTTCCTCATGGCCTGGTCTCATCTCCCTTCTTCCACTTTTCCACCAGCAGCCCCTGGTACTGTGATACCCCAGTTCCTGTGAAAAATACACCACATCTTCCCTTGTTTCCCTCCTACCTTAGCACAGGCCAGCTCTTTTGGCTTGGAACTCCCTTCTCCCCTTGCTAGGGGTTAGCAGAGTTGAACAAGCAATGTGCTGGGTCAGAATGGGGGTCCATATCCTATCTTTACCACTTAGCAGGCTCTACTGTACCGCTCAATCCCTTGGTGAGTCAATGTTCTCATCTGAAAAATGGGGAGACGAGATAATAATAGTGCCTGCGTCAAAGGGTGCACCCAAGAAGTAATGAGGTAACACATGCCAGGTGCTTGCTAGTCAGTCCCACGGTAATCACTGAATAAATATAAGCAGTCGTGAGGAACACTGTTGGAGAGGGCTTAGGGGCTACCTCCTACTTGGATTCCAGGTATTAGCTTAATCATCACCTGCTCTGGGAGTTTTTCTTCTTCCTAAGGCACATTGTGTACTCCTGTCACAGATCTCTCCTCTTCTACCTAGCATCCACACCTGTTCTAGGTATTGGGCAGGCAGATGTAAATGTCGATTCTGCATCCTCACCAGGCAGCAGACTCCACCAGGACCCGAGCCAGTCCACTGTACTGACTACGGGGAGGGGACACATGACAGACCCTCAATAAAGGAGTGAATGACATGGGGTGAGGGTTCTCATGCCAGTGATTCCAGGGTGTAGCAGAGACCAATGGGGGCTGTTGGGAATGGACGTGGGCCAAGAGTGGGCACGCGGACCTTGACTGCACCAGCAACAGACGACAGAGAGCGTGGGTGTCTGGGTCTCGCCTTGTCCCTGGACTGAGACTGGGGGCGCAGCGCGGTGGGAGAGACAGCGCGGAACTTTGGCTGGGCCAGCGCCCTCGGGAGAAAATGCAGCCTGACGGGTCTGGTGAGCGCTCCTGGCCCGCCCCCGGCTCCTCCCCGGTCTCGGTCCCGCCTCCTCCTGCAGTCCGAGGTAGCTGGAACTGCAAGTGGCCCGCACGGACTTATTCAGCCACCGCGGAGCTGTAGTGCCCAGCCCGCCGCCCCCCGCCGCTGTGGGATGCTGCGCTCCACGTCCACGGTCACCCTGCTCTCAGGAGGTGGCGCCAGGGCGCCCGGGACGCCCAGCAGGAGGGTGAGTAGCTGGGCCAGCCGCTGCTGGCCCTTTCCCCCCATTCCCGCTGCTCTCTCTGTAGGGGTCTGAGCTTGGTAACTGCTGGGAGCCGGACCCTGACCCCAACCACCCCAATCCTGAGCAATTTCTGGTCCTGTCACAGCTGGGCCTTGATTCCCCTTCAACGTCCCAGGGGCTTCCCTGCTGGCTGGAAGGAGAGACTTGTGGGAGACACTGGAATTCCCAGAGATTTCCTCTCCCTGCCTCCTCAGTCAGGCCAAGTTTATTGCTGGCGCCAATTTAAAGAGCAAGGGAGACATTTCTGCAGTGTCCCTACCTTGAGACCCCAAAGTACTGACTGTGTTTAAAACCCAGACTTTCCTCCTTTCACCCATTAAAAGAAAGGGTCACTTGTGCACAAGGGTGGAGAATAACTAATTCTGGAGTGGCTTTACGAGTGGGCGCCCCTTTGCAACTAGAGGCCAGCCGCTGACCGCGCTGGAGCCCAGTTGTGTGGGACTTCGGTTTATGCAAAACACGTTCCTCTTTTGGATGTGACTTAGTACAGAGGCAGTGGGTAGCCCTGACAGCTTTGCGCACCATCCCCAGGAGGGCTGCCGTTTGGAAACCCCGTTTCTCTGCCAGCTTCAGTGCACCTTCTCCCACCTCTCCACGACGCCCAGGCAGGTGGCGTCTTTCACATTCCGTGTTTTTTTTTTCCTAAGATCAGCACCTCAGAGCACGCTGCTAGGGGCTTGGTTTGTGACTTTTTAGTGCTTTCGTTTTCCTTATTTTTGTCATTTCATAAATTAGAATTTAATTTTTTTAAAGGCTGAACCTTTTTGATTCATTTAAATAAAAGATATTGAACTAAAGAGTGTTTCTGACATTTAAATAAATTCTACCTGCATTTCCAGTTTTATTGAATTGATACTAACTCTCCTCTCATGCATAAACAGAAAACAAATGGATTGTATGATTTTTAAAAAAACTCTTCTTATTTTTTTAAACATTCAGTTGCATACATCATTTAGCTTGTAAAGAGAATTTACCGAACATGAAGTATAACTCAGGCCAGTCCAGTTAAGAATAATATACATGTTATTATCAACAGGCAATAAGCCATTTCTTCTTATTATTTATTTATTTATTTTTTTGGAGAGGTTTTTGCCATAGGGCCCATGCATTTGCCAGACAGAGAGAGACAGAGAGACAGAAAGCGAGAAATCACCCCCCCCAGGAGGGAGGGCCACACCGCAATCCCTTCTCCTCCATTCTCCTTTCGGGATCTTGGACACACACGCACACACACCCGGCGTGAGTTTTAAGCCACCGGGTCTAGGACGTGAACTGCAGTTGACTACGTGAGAGTCCAACGACATAGCCATTACTCTAACTGCTGGTCCCGCAATAAGCCATTTCTGTGTCCCACAAATGTCTTGCCTCTATTTTTTCTCCCTGATTTCCTTCCCTATACTCTTCCCTTCTCCCACCCTCCCTCGACACTGTCTCCGGTGTCCATAACTATTTTCACTGCTTTTATGTCCTCCAGTCTTTTCCTCTCTACTATAGAACACTTGGCACGTCTTTAGTGTGGTGGAGACTTCTGTAATTATGCTTCCCCAAAGTTTAGCGAAAGGTGTTTAAATCCAAACCAAGACCCCCTATTTGCTAGTTTTGTAGACATGCTTGGTTGCGTTTGCATACCTCAACCAAGTGGTGGTGGTTGCCTCATGTGCTGTCTTTCCTTAGCTCTAGAATAAAGGCGTGTGTGGACCAAGGATGGATTTGGCCTGTGCGAGTGTATGTGTGTGTGCATACACCAGGCCCTTAAGGTTAATGGTCCATTAACTTCATAGAGCAAGATCCACATCAGGTCCAAGTGAGCTTCCAGCTACAGTCTGATCTTACACCAAGATGAGTATCTGTCCTTTTTCGTTGGAGATCTTTCTCAATTGGGACACAATTGCCTTTGAGAAAGAATGGTCACTGAAAATAGCCTTGGGCTCAGATAGGGTCACATGTGTGAACAAATTGCATGAAATTCTCCAAATTCCCCAGTGGAATTTGGAGTTGGGGACTGATTGGGGTGACTAGGGCAGATTTTTGGGTGGATACAAATACTACTGGTTTACTAGATAACATTTCAGAAATTTTTTTTCTCAAATATTTGCCTTTGAGTATTGCTTTAGTTTTAAGTGCTTTTGTGTCTGGCACATCATGACACACCATCCAGAAGGCTTTGTCTTCTGAGTCAAATGGTAGGAATACTTTAGGCTGGAGGACTCAGGTCTCTGCATCAGATCATGCAAAGCTGTCCTGGACATACCAGTACTTGTTTTAGAAAGATATCTAATGGTTCTGGGGTTCTTCCTATATTTATGATTTCTAACTGTTTATGATTCATAAATGTCACAGGTACTGTATGCATGTGTGTTGAGGGGATGGTAGTGTGGTAGGAATCTGTGATCCATCAACTGATTGACTTTTTTTTTTTTTTGAGAGGTTTTTGCTATAGGGCACGCATGCACGCTCACTAGAGAGACAAAGAGAGACAGAGAGACAGAAAGCGAGAAATCACCCCAGAGGGTATGGCGATGCTGCAATCCCTTCTCCTCCATTCTCCTCTCAGGATCTTGGGCACACATGCACATGCACCCGGCATGAGTTTAAGCCGCGGGTCCAGGACTTGAACCATGGTCGACTACATGGGAGTTCAGCGACATAGCCATTACACCAACTTCTGGTCCTGAACTGATTGACTTTTCTAAGATAAAGAGAGAGGAAGAGAGAGGGTAAGAAAGAGAGAGATGCATTGTTTACTGGGTCTGATCTTGCCATGCTCTCCTTTCCCCAGCCCTCCAGCTGCTCTTCTTCAGGATCTTGGGAGCCTGTATGAACCTGTGGCCAGCATGTATTCAAGCCAATCCAAACCCATGGTCAGCCATTTTGTTCCCAGTCCTGAAGTGCACTTTTGATACCACTATGCCACAGTGACTGGGTTGATGAATAGATTAAACATTTATAGATCTCCTTCTGTGTAGTGCAGGGCTGGCTATTGGGGTCTACTCTACTGATAGAAACAGGCATTGTCATAAACTACCATCAAAAGTGAAAAGGAAAGGTTCTGCCAATACGCCTGTTGAAGGTGATGTTTGAGTTCAGTCTTGCCAGACAAGTAGGAGTTTGTAGGGCATGGGGCATTACTGGAATCCTGGAAGGAGGAAATATCACTCATCTAAATGGAGTACTTGGCATATACTATAATATACGATGATGGCATATCAAACGGTGAGCCAGAAACATCTAAAACGAGAACAAGATGCCTTGAAAATAAAATTGTGAACCAAATAAGTATTCCTGAAATTAAGGACTTTACTGTTTTCTCATTTCTGCCTGTTAGTGGATAAGTGGGAGTGTCGAACAGTAATGTGTTAGCCATTAACATCCAAAGAGTTTATCAAAATAGAGCAGGGAAAACCAGGTTCTGTTGGTCCAGTCATTCAAGCCAACCAAAAATGGTGACAGCTGACAGTGAGCAGGGAGTTGTCTGACTTCACTGCCAAGAGTGATGTGGCTGACCAGATTGCCACCGTTTATCCTTTGTTCCATGGCGGCCACCTGCAATTTGTACTTCCTTCTTACATGAAATCATCTCTCCAAGGGGAAAAAAAAAACAGGTAGAGAGAGTGATTTCTGTCAGCTGATAAACAAAGCTCTGAGAGGCGTTTATGGATGCCAACCAGCAGGAGTTGTGAAATGAATGATTTCTAACTGTTTATGATTCATAAATGTCACAGGTACTGTATGCATGTGTGTTGAGGGGATGGTAGTGTGGTAGGAATCTGTGATCCATCAACTGATTGACTTTTTTTTTTTTTTGAGAGGTTTTTGCTATAGGGCACGCATGCACGCTCACTAGAGAGACAAAGAGAGACAGAGAGACAGAAAGCGAGAAATCACCCCAGAGGGTATGGCGATGCTGCAATCCCTTCTCCTCCATTCTCCTCTCAGGATCTTGGGCACACATGCACATGCACCCGGCATGAGTTTAAGCCGCGGGTCCAGGACTTGAACCATGGTCGACTACATGGGAGTTCAGCGACATAGCCATTACACCAACTTCTGGTCCTGAACTGATTGACTTTTCTAAGATAAAGAGAGAGGAAGAGAGAGGGTAAGAAAGAGAGAGATGCATTGTTTACTGGGTCTGATCTTGCCATGCTCTCCTTTCCCCAGCCCTCCAGCTGCTCTTCTTCAGGATCTTGGGAGCCTGTATGAACCTGTGGCCAGCATGTATTCAAGCCAATCCAAACCCATGGTCAGCCATTTTGTTCCCAGTCCTGAAGTGCACTTTTGATACCACTATGCCACAGTGACTGGGTTGATGAATAGATTAAACATTTATAGATCTCCTTCTGTGTAGTGCAGGGCTGGCTATTGGGGTCTACTCTACTGATAGAAACAGGCATTGTCATAAACTACCATCAAAAGTGAAAAGGAAAGGTTCTGCCAATACGCCTGTTGAAGGTGATGTTTGAGTTCAGTCTTGCCAGACAAGTAGGAGTTTGTAGGGCATGGGGCATTACTGGAATCCTGGAAGGAGGAAATATCACTCATCTAAATGGAGTACTTGGCATATACTATAATATACGATGATGGCATATCAAACGGTGAGCCAGAAACATCTAAAACGAGAACAAGATGCCTTGAAAATAAAATTGTGAACCAAATAAGTATTCCTGAAATTAAGGACTTTACTGTTTTCTCATTTCTGCCTGTTAGTGGATAAGTGGGAGTGTCGAACAGTAATGTGTTAGCCATTAACATCCAAAGAGTTTATCAAAATAGAGCAGGGAAAACCAGGTTCTGTTGGTCCAGTCATTCAAGCCAACCAAAAATGGTGACAGCTGACAGTGAGCAGGGAGTTGTCTGACTTCACTGCCAAGAGTGATGTGGCTGACCAGATTGCCACCGTTTATCCTTTGTTCCATGGCGGCCACCTGCAATTTGTACTTCCT